ATAACTTCCAAGCTCTTAATAATGACCATATCTTTTATTCTTTATCTCATTAACTCTGCTCAATAATTGAATAGCACATTTCTTTCCTTAATTCCAGTTTTGAATCAAATGTTATTTCCTCAGAGAGGCCTTCTCTAACCACCCTAAGAAAAATGTGCCTTCTACCACCACTCCTATCACTTTGTAAGCTCTTCTTTGGTTCCTTTCCATAGCTTCTGAGATTATATTGTGTGTGTGTGTGTGTGTGTGTGTGTGTGTGTGTGTAAATCTGTTTGTTGTACTACTACAATGTAATGTACATAGTATTTTCTCTTTGCTATCTTTTTCACCTGCTACTATATCCCCAGCAAACAGTTGTAACAGTGATGTAGTAGGCACTCAATATATACTTACTGAAGAAATGGATAAAATAGAAAGTGTTAAGAAACTTGCTTTTAGCTACTACAAATGGGAGCTACTGGTAGCAATGAGAGAAAAGAGATATAATGATAAAAATGTATTAGAAAGATTCATCTGAAGCTAGTATTTTATATGGATAAAATAAATGGGCAGAATCAGAATTTCTCTAGTTTCTGCCTGGGAAACTGTATTTCAAGCTTTTCAAACATTTTCCAGTTTTCATACAAACACAAAAAGAACTGGATACAGTAAATATCAAGTAGATAAAAGAGAAGAAAATGATTTGTACGTCAATAATAGAAAACAATAGTTGAAATGGTCTCTTCACAATACTAGCTTACTGTAAAGTTTTAGAAGTTGATAAACCTGGTGCATCTGTGATTGATACCCCTCTACCTTTGACTCTGTCAGTGGTTCACCTGTGTCTATGACCAGGCTAGCTAGTGAAGAAGTACAAAGTAAGCTATAAGACAAGAAACAAAACAACACTAGGAAGGGTAGGACTAGGATATATGTAATGAGAATGCACTAAGGACTACATTCAGATTTGACCTGGTGTAGGTGCTCAGTAAAAATTTACTGAGTGGAATGATGCACGGGTAAATGAATGGTTCATATGACTACTATGCAGAAACTGTTCTGTCAACTAAATAAGAGGAATGTATAGCATAAACAACTACAAACTAGGAAAGCCAAACTTAACTAGAAGAACTCTTAAAAATGAAAAGAGAGTGAAAACTACAAAAGTATGCTGGAAGGGAGGAAGAACTCAAGAACAATATAGGATTTAGTCTTTGAGACAAAAAAAAGAGTGGAAGATTTCTTGAACTTGAAACCAGTCAGAAAACTAAGAATTGCAAATATATGCAAGTTCAGTAACAGTAGTAACTGTTCAGTTATGAGTGGTTTTTAGCAATGATAATATAATTATTATATCACATGTAATTATAAGTAATTAGCACAAGACCAGATGGGGAAGATTCCAATGAATGAAGATTCAGAAGAGTGAAATAAGTTAGTATTTTTTGAAGTCGGTTTTCTAAGGGTTGTAAATCTACTCTGAAACCTAAGTAAGTTTATGCCTCAGAGATTTCATGTCTTAGAATCCTTGCATATTATAGAAAGAAATACTGCAAATATAACCTGAGATGAAGACATAATCTTCAGTTTAAACATTCTATTCTATTGTTAAGCTATGTTTAGATCTTGGGAAACAGGCTCAATTTGTTACAGGTCAGGCAAAGAAATGGAATGGTGTGCATTTTATTTTAAACTAGGGGACTAAGTATCAAATCTCCCACAGTGACAAGTTTCTACAATACCACATGAGTACTGTATAGTGGCATGGTAGTACCAGGATACACACAATTCCAATTCAACTCTACTAAATTTTGACAGAGCTCTTATTTAGCATGCATGAGGTCCTGGATTTGATCTACAACACTAAATTTTAAAAAAATTTTTTAAATGTTTCTATACCAAATTGCTCATTACTCCATAAGTAGTCCATAGTGCATCTATGCCTTTCATTATTTAATCTGCTATATGCTTAATTCTAAAAGTATAATCATAATAAATCTGGCCCCTTATATAATATTTAAAAATAAAGCTATTTTGGTCCCAAGTACAGAGTTGTAAATTATTTATCAAGTAAGTTTAGTGCTTTAGCTGACACGTTTTTCACACGTGTCAAGTCAGGGCGAACGTGCAACATGTTAGTAGTCATTTGAGACTGCAGCTCTAGATGCAATAAACCTGCCATCTTACACATTTGTTTGACCCTTCAATCCTGATACTTGGCACTTGTGATTGAGTAGATCTTGCCCTTACACTTCTTTCTGCATAGCCAGGCAAATCAAAGATCTCTTTCTTTACTAATTGGAATCTCTTTGAGGCCTGAGCAAAGAAAGGTATAAATGCAGGATTTGGAACATGATTTTTCTATGGGGTTTTGATGCTCAACACAAGATTTTTAAAGAATAAACATTAACTCTGCCAGGGAACATCTTGTTGTTCCAGGACTATTCCCAAGAGCCTCGTTTAAGAGAGGTGGTGTTTCTTTGGCCCACCAGGTCTAAATGCTGCATTTCTAATGTTTATTACCACTCAGTTACCTTCTGGACATTGGGGACACACTAGTCCTATAAATAAATACTTTCCTCTGTTGAAGAAATGCACATGGCATACCTCAAGTAGTCTTTTAATATTAACCTAAAGAAACCAAGATATTCTTAAACCGTAAGGAAAATGAAGGGAAAATTGATACAAACTCACAAGATGGAATTGTAATTTTGTAATTCTAACATCATGAACTAAATTGTCTTGATCTTCAAACTGTAAATATCTATTTCCACTCTTTATTTTCTACTTATGGCAACCTAATAGCATAAATAAAATTCCTAAGCTAAAACTGATATAGCTTAGCTCAAACTTTTTTATAATCTAATAAAATTACTGAGGTCCTTAAAAGATCTTCTATATAGGTTATAGCTATCAATATTTACTATAAGACTAGAAAAATGTTAAATGTTGGGCAATTTAGAAAGTAACCCATTACATATTAACATTAAATATATTTATGAAAAATGACTATTTTTGTAAAACAAAAATTGAGAAAAGTATCTATATTTTACATTTTTAGCTGAATAAAAGGGAACAAGATATCTGCTTCTGCATTCCATTAGTTATAATATGTTGTTTTAGTTGAAGTATATGAAGAAAATCTTGTCTCACACAGATAGAGCTGGAAAGGGAGTGTTTCAATAGCTTTTTCGGATGCTTGTGGATATTTTCTTGATTCTACATCAAAACTCAGTAAAAGATAATTTCTTAAAAGTTAATTGCAAAATGAAATATGTAACCAAATCAATGAACTTTTAATATTGTATTGCATTAAATCCATTGGTCTATTTTGTACTTTGAATTAATCTTTTGCCCATGCTTTTGTAATACCATGAACTTCTCATTTGGAAAATATAATTTACACAGGTCTATCAAATTTAATAATTTCATTAAGTAATTAAAAATATACTTGTTAATATGAAGTCAGTGTTATCAGGAAAATCTTTGTCAAGATTCATCAAGGTATCAAGGTATCAAGCTTGAAGTGTTAAGTATGAATTTTCCAAAAGTCTAGTGTTTACCTTAAAAGCTTTAATTTTGGCAATCAGTGTTGTCAACTGTTTGTTCAAGTGACTTCTTCAAGAAGAAAGCCTATTTGTTTCATTTTTTTCAGGAAAATGTCTGCCAAATGCTTAAGCCTAACAAATTATAATATGTAAGTTTCTTTCTAGTAAAACTAGAATAACATGAAAAAAAGCATCTAGTTCAGTGTATAATTAACACAAACACACAAATACCTTTCTTAAGGCAAACACAAATTTCAATATGCTATCAATTGCCCAATTGCCCATTAACTGGAGACTGGATAAAGAGGATTTGGTTTTTCTTTTTTTATGAAATGGACTACTACTCAGCCATAAAGAATGAGAAACTAGAGACATTTATAGCTAAACGATGCACAATGAGGCCATACTCTTAAGTGAAATAAATAGGACACATGCGTAAATACCAAGTAGTTTCTTTGGTGTGAGAAACTGAAAGTGTAAATAAGGATAAAAATGTATAACAGATAATGTGAAATAGGAAGAAAAGGTCCAAAGAGGAAAGGGAAGAAGAAGGGGTAGGGGAAAGGAAAGAAGGGAAAGGAATAAATATGAGAGAAAGAAAAAATGGGAACAAAGTCTTTGTAAATAGAGAGGGGTGGAGGGGTTGAAGGGAGGGCAGGGAAATGAGGAAAAAATAAGAACCAAGATATATCATGTAAAGGTACAAATTTCCAGTGATGAATGTCATCATATTGTATACCTAAAATGCATTAATAAACTTATCATTTAAAAAATGCTATCAAAATGTTTTATGCATGTTTTCCATTTTGTCACTGAGGATATTATGAAGAAGTAAACTAAAAAGTTGAAGTTTAATAAAGTCAATGTTTACTGAACCATTATGGGCATTCTAAGTGAAACTGACTTTTGTATACTGAGTGTAGAGTAGAGAAAGACTCAAATACTACTACCATAGTATAGTTTGATGCTACTGCCTCAATTTCTGCTAAGGAACCAGCAGTTTTATTCACCATTGCTTGTGCATCAGCATTGTAAATGATAACATAGTGAAAAGGCAAAATAACAGTATTATATAAAAATAGTTTTGAGATTAAAAACCATTATAGAAAGGGTTATGGGCACTACCAATTTCCTATAGGACACTGAGAGCCATTGGCTTAGATAATTCAATATATTAAAACAGAAAATATTTTGTGCTTCCTAAAATGAAATTTGTAGTATTTCCATACCCTGCTGTAGTTCAAGATGCAACAGTAAAGACTCAAGAGCATTCTAAAATAATTACATAAAATGAAAAAAAAAAAAGAGGGAAAAAGAAACAAGCCTCTAAGACATGTCAAATTTAGTCAGGTGCTTAATCTCAACAAAAGAAAGAAAATAAACATTAATTATCTGCAAAATTTCAAGATTTTTTACTTAGGTCAAAATTATTCACAATTAGATTATACACACTACATACTACCAATGTCTTACCTTAGCTCTAGACGAACTGACATTTTCCATATTTTCAATGCTGCAGATACAATTCTGTGAAACTTTCCGGCAAGCCACTCTGATGTAGTCCCAGAAGCTACGAGGACTTTCATAACCAAACCAGGTTACTTGACCTTTAGGAGATAAATTGCAATATAAAAATAAAAGAAAACTACACTAGAAAATTTGCTTTGCAAAAACAGCACAATTCTGAAAAATACAGGGTCATACAGTGTGTCACTGTGGAAATGGCACTTATCTAGGTATCAAAAGCCTTAAATATAGTTCCACCCTACCCTTAACTAGTGATTTTACCTGGGAAAACTGACTTATTTAGTCTAGATCATAGTTTTCTCAACAATAACAATTCAGCTAAATGAAATAAAAAGGATCTAGACACTAAAAATATCTGCAGCTTAGTATCTTATTATCTAAATCTTTTAGATAACACATGGAAAATCTTATTTGTGTTTCCTGTACACTAGGTAGAACAATGATTTACATTAACCAGTTGAACTCTAAACCTTCTATTTTGAAAAATTAAAAAAAATGACAACCTCTTCCTCTTCAAGGAATATTTCAAAACATGAAACAATGTGTGGTCCATCTTATAACGAAACAAGATCAATTAGAATCCCATATTCACTGATGATTTGTAATCCTCCACTCAACCCTTCTCATCTATAAATCACCCCTCTAACTGTAATTCATTTGCTCTCTTCTAGTCACTAACACATGAAAAACACTTTAGGCATTTAACATTCTTACCTCTCAAATTTAGGTAACTGTCTGTTCATGACCAAGTATTCTATAGTGTATACCTTATACTAGCATTAATATTTCTATGTAGGACTTAAGTATTAAGCCCACTGGAACCATTTTGTTTTGGTTTTTGGTTGTTTGGTGTTTTTTTTGTACTGGTGATCAAACTCAGGACCTTGCGCTTGTGAAGCAGGCATGGAGCCACTGAGCTAAATCTCTGGCCCTGGA